TAATAATAACTTAAGGCCATTGGATACAAATATAAAAAAGTCATCATCACCATCAATAAATATTATAAAAGAGGAGAATAATGATAATAACGTTGATTTTAATTTTAATTTTAATTTTGATTATGATTATGATTATGATGATGATAATGAATCAGAAAAAAGTCCAACAAAATCAATTGATTCAAATTATTCTACTAATAACAATAATAATACTAACACCACAATTACTCCTACTACCAATACCATAACCATTCCATGGATTGGTGGTAATGGATCAGGACCAAGGATGATGAGACAAAATTCTTATGAATTTGGACTTTTATCAGCGAGTCATTTACCATCATCTAGACCTGGTAGTCCAGTATCACCAGGACAGGTAATGAATTTATTTTGGGGAGATAAAATACCAATTGTTTAAACTAAAACATTCATCAACAATCAAATGCTCACACTCAATCGAGCATATTTGTTTTTTTCTAGGGGCCTTCACCAATAACATGGTCAAGTGTAATGAATACAGAAAAAATAGAACAATTGACAAAACAAGAACAAAAAAGACAAGAAGCAATTTATGAATTAATCACCACAGAACGATCATATTTACGTGATTTACAAATGATAATACAAGTTTTTTATGGACCTTTACAACAAAGGCAACAAAATTTTTCTTTGACAGATCAAGAACTTTCAACAATATTTTCAAACATCCAAGATATACTAATATGCAACACAGAGATTTTGAGTGATATGGAACAGAGACAAAATGAACAAGAATTCTTAGTTGAGTGCATTGGTGATGTAATGTTGAATCATTCTGATAATTTGAAATGTTACGTTGAATATTGTGGTGGTCAATTAAAAGGCAGTAAGTTTTTACAAAAGAAACGTAGCGAGGATAAAAATTTTGATGAATTTTTGAAGGTATTTATTCTTCATTTTAATTTTAATTTTTTCTTATATTTTTTATAATTATTTATTTTACATTATAAATTAGAAATGTGAACAAGATCCTCAATGTGGAGCATTAGGCTTGTCAAGTTTTTTATTGAAACCAATGCAAAGAATTACAAGATATCCTTTGTTATTAAGACAAGTAAGTACCAACTTAACATTTGATTAATACAAAAGAACATTAGAAAAGATGCTTATCATTCTTTTCAAATGATGATTAGATCTTACATTATACAACCAATGATCATCCAGATCATCAGAATATGATGAAAACATTACAAAATGCTGA